ATGTGAGTAGGAACTATTAATTATGGTGGTTGTTCAAATGGGACACTTATCCGTGTTGCGTGCTATGCTTTTGGGGAGTGCGTGAGTTGCGTCAGCCTCAGACCGCGAATGGATGCTGGCGAGGCAAGACGCACATTTTCCCTTCTCTTCTCCCAGTTATTATTGGTATGTTTAAAAGTATTAATTTGGTCAAAATCCATCAAATATAAAACGGAATGTGGTATGAGTCAAGTATACAAATGTATTTTCATGTATTGGTTATTTTTGAGTTTTATGCGACTTTTGTCTGACGCACGTGGCGCTAAACAATCTCATGGTTTGTGCACAGTGTTTAACGGGAGTTAGCGCAACGGATGTTTCTCTTATCAAGTGTTCCATGTGTTACAGGTATGTTCAGTTCTTTAACTCAAACTGTATAAAATTATAGAATTGGTGGAATTAGGTTCCTAATGTTCTGGACTAATTCTGAATGTGTTTGTTAATTATCAATACTATTTTCTCTATTTCCCCTTTATGTTGTAATGCATTTAATCGCTTAGCATTTGGATTATGCATTGATTTCACATTTCTATAGTGTCGCTGTGAATGTGTATGATGTTTTGGGGAATGTTGGTATGTTGTTTCATGTGAACATTAATTTGATACACCATTCATGGTTAATAATACATATGGAGACAACAGTTGACACAAAGAGTCATATATAACCAGTAATTTTATTTGAATTCCTTTATTCCTTGTTGTAATACACAATGTTAAACATAAATTGTAACATGTCAGCCTCAGACCGCGAATGGATGCTGGCGAGTGTTTAACGGGAGTTATCGCAACGGATGTTTCTCTTATCAAGTGTTCCATGTGTTACAGGTCAATAAATGGAACCGTTTTGAAGCTGGTTTGCTGTTTCGAGTGAAATTCCTTATGTACAGAACCAGATCTGCTACATAAAACTGGTGCCGTGACCTTCTTGGATACAACTGATCAGCTGCAGCCGATCACCGGGTGTTGTCCGTTCACGTGGAGCTGTTGCTGTGATCTCCTTGGATTCATCGGGCCGGTCGTTGCAGTTGTGGCCAGATGTCAAATAGGGGATTGAGTCCTGCCTTCCAGCGTCAACTAATGAAGTTTCCTCATTGCAGTGACGATCAGGTTCTTTAACATCGTTAAGACATTGACTTTTGGATCGAACATTGAACCTTTAAGACATTGAATAAATTTACTTTGGCGAGTGATCAGTACAAAAAGTAAAATGTACAACATGTCTACACCAGTCTTGGGGAGGGGTAGAGTTTTCAGCAGTTCAGATGCTGTTGCGAGACATAAAGAAAATGATCAAATTGACGATGTCAAATTTAGCCTTTCGCAAATGGGGGAAAAAGTCAATTATGGTGCTTCATCATTCACGCCTGCCCCAATAGACGATGATTCTCGTTTGCAGATAACAGAGCTTCTTGAGGAGCTAGGTAGCCAAATTGGCGATAGTATTTTGGACCGGCTCTTAGCTGATCGTAATCCCTCTGCTCTGGGGCATCAGACTACCCCTGAGACAGTCAAAAGCGAGCTGGCTAGCACTACTCTTGACTTATCTAGGTTGAATCTGATTGTACGATCTGACAGTAGGGGGCCTCCTATTTTCCGTGGTGATGGTACAGATAAACATACTATTCATGAATGGATAGAGTTAATGGAGGTATACTTACAGAAGTGCGATCACCCGAAGGCGAAGCATGCCAATGAGATCTTGAATCATCTTTTGGGTAGAGCTAAAAACATGGTCAAAGTAGGGCTAAAAAGCAATCCCTCACCTGACATGGTTGTTACTCCCGAGACCATTTACAAAATGCTCTTACGCTATTTCAGTGACAGCCCAGAGTCTTGTCTTCCACTTGCAGACTTCTACTCTACACTGCCACATGACAAAGAAAGCCCCGTTGACTATTGGACCCGCCTCAGTAATGCGGCCGAAATCGCTGATAATCACTTGCAGAATCAGGGTAGTCGAATGAAGAACATTTCACAGGAAATTTCAATGATGTTTATTAGAACCTGCCCTGATGCTGAGCTTTCTAGTGTGTTCAGGTACAAGCCTATCACCAAGTGGTCGTCTGCAGAGGTTCAGGAAGCGATAGATGAGCATCAAAGGGAGCTGAGAATAAAGAAACCACACTCTTACTCTCGCCCTGTCTGTTCGTTCCAAGTAGCAACTGCCACAGTCAGCCATGGAGAAGCCACCACTGTGGTCAACGATGCAGTGAACACCGCAGTGTGCATCCCCAGTATCCAGAACACTAAGCCTGAGATCACCACACCGCCTCCACATACTGTCTTGACTGACACAGGTACATTAGAGCGAGTGCTCAGCATGCTGGAGAGGGTGCTTGACCGCACTAATACACAGGCTGCTCCTAATAGACCACAATTGCACTCCATGTCTCGTCAATCCAAATGTCGCGTTTGCAGTGAGAGAACCCATTCCACCTGGTCACACTGCATATCAGAGAAGAGATGTCTGATCTGCTTGGAAGTTGGTCACCAGCGCAGGAATTGCCCTAGGAAAAGTGCCGAGTCTGGGAGCCGCTCTCAGATTCAGGGAAACTGACACACCTACATTCGGGAGGGGATAATGTGGGTGAAGAAGTCCAGACCCTCCAAGATGATGCGTCAAGCATATATGAGTCGACTTGTAAGTCAGTGACAAGTGATAATATGGTTTTGTTTCAGAACGTGACCCATTTGGCTCGGGCAGACAGCCTTTTCTATACTAACGTTTTAGTCAATGACAGCATGCCTCTAAGAGCCTTGTTAGACAGTGGCTCTATGGCCTGCACCATCAGTGAAGTTGCAGAGTCCCGTCTACTCGATGCAGGGTTGTTTCTGGACCAGTGCGAGATGCAGGCCAATGTTATGCTGGTTGGGTGTGGCGGAGTTCAAGGTGCGCCGAAGTGTATGTACCAGCTGAAGATGAGAGTGTATGAGTATGAAGTCAGTGTACCTACGCTGGTTGTTACAGGACAACGAGATGAGTTGATACTGGGCACCAACGTTCTTAAGTTCATCTTGAGCCAGGTTAAGCAGAATCCCACATACTGGCGTGTTGTAAATAGGCCCGAATCAACGAAAGATTGTGATGCTGAACAGTTCCTTGACGTGCTTTCTGGACTTAACAGATGGAGAGGCAATGAGATGCCTGACATTATAGGAACTGCCAAACTGGTTCAAGCAGTCACTTTGCTGCCTAAGCAGGAACACCTGGTGTGGGCCAAGTTACCTCCTACGTCGCCTATTTCTGAGGGCAGTGCTGTGTTGATTGAACCAACCAAGTCGCCGACCCATAAAAAAGATATCATTCTGGGATGTATCATTGTGGTGGTTTCCATGACTGCTGATAGATGGGTACCTGTAAGGATGCTTAACCCGCATGACGAGGCCATCACCCTGAAAAAAAACTCAAAGGTTGTCAATGTGTCTCCTTGTGTGGCGTTGGATGATTTGGAAATGGATTTGGAGCGACCCTTCAACACTGTTGAAACGCTGAGCCAAACACTGCATGATGGATCACCTGACCCAGACTTCCAGGACATTCTGCAGAAGATGGGATTGAGTGACTTAGACATTGACTCCTGCGAAGTGTCACCTCAATGGAAAGGTCAGTTATTGCAATTGGTCCAGAAGTTTGAACATGTATTCTCAAAGCACAAGTTAGACTGCGGGAGAGCGAAAGACTTTGAGCATCGCATCCATCTGTCTGACAATCGGCCTTTCCGTTTACCTTACCGACGTGTGCCGCCAGGGCATTACCAGAAGCTACGGCAAGTATTATCGGAGATGGAAGAACAAGACATCATTCGTAAATCCAGCAGCGAGTGGGCCTCTCCCTTGGTTCTCGTGTGGAAGAAGAGTGGCGACCTCCGTATCTGTGTTGATTATCGCTGGCTGAATTCACGCACTACAAAGGACGCACACCCTCTTCCTCATCAGGTTGATTGTCTTGCCGCTCTGGGAGGGAATGCATTGTTCAGCGCAATGGACCTCACATCTGGCTTCTACAACATCTCCATGTGTGAGGAAGACAAGAGATTTACAGCCTTTACCACGCCTCTAGGCCTATATGAGTTCAATCGTCTTCCACAGGGACTATGCAACAGCCCAGCGAGCTTCATGCAGCTAATGATGAGTATATTTGGAGACCAAAACTTCCTTACTCTGCTGTGCTATTTGGATGATCTTCTAGTGGTGGCTCCCAATGAACAAAAAGCCTTAGAAAGGTTAGAGATGGTCTTCGACAGATTGAGTTATCATGGGTTGAAGTTGGCGCCTAAGAAATGCTACTTCCTAAGATGGAGTGTCAGATTTCTTGGCCATGTTGTGAATGAAAATGGAGTCGCAACTGATCCCGACAAAATTGCAGCCATTACCGCCGTTAGCGAAAAGGACCTCATGATGGAGGATGGAGTGTCACCTTCACCAAGGAAGATCAAATCTTTTTTGGGTATGGTCATGTATTACCAACGGTTCATCCCTAACTGTTCCAGTATTGCCAAGCCACTCTTCACGTTAACCGCAGCAGTCAAGGGAAAAAGGGGCTATTCAAAGGGTGGCGTTGTCTTCAGGAAACTCAGGCCGTCGGACTGGACTAGAGAATGTTTTTCTAGCTTTTGAACAGCTCAAGTCAGCCCTTCTGAATTATGTGGTGTTGGCTCACCCTGACTTCACCCAGTCATTCATTCTTTCTACAGATGCCTCCTTGGATGGCATAGGGGCAGTATTATCTCAAATACCTAAAGGGGAGTCTAAGGCACGACCTGTCGCCTTTGCTAGCAAGGCGCTCACACAGGCTCAGTCGAACTACCCAGCACACCGTCTCGAGTTTCTTGCATTGAAATGGTCTGTCTGTGAAAAATTTTGTCATTGGCTAAAGGGACATCTTTTTACAGTCTGGACGGACAATAATCCGTTGACGTATATCCTAACAAAGCCGAAACTAGACGCGTGCGAACAGAGGTGGGTGGCTAGGTGGGCCCCGTACCCCTCCGACATCAAGTATATGCCTGGTGCAAAAAATGTAGTGGCCGATGCATTGAGCCGCCAGCCATTTGTCAGAGACTAGTGGCAGAGCCCTACAACCATCTGCTCGAACAGAGCTCCTTTAGGCTCAGCGCAAACAGCCAGTGTGTTGGACATCCTCTGGAGCAGTGTTCCTTGTCTTCCGATCAGGTTTCTGCTGTCTTGGAAGCTCATGCACAGTGGGAAGTGGGAGCACAGAATAGAGTTATATCTTGGCTTGCTCAAGAAACCCAACAGACATTACCAGTTGGTCAGAACCCCTTGCCCGTTTACTCATTGAAAGAGCTTCACGAGAAGCAAGAAAGTGACCGCGTGCTTTCAAGAGTTCTCTTCTATGTGTGCCGAGGTAAGAGACCGTCTAGGAGAGAAAGAGCCAAGGAACCTTACAAGGCTCTGAAACTGCTGAAGCAATGGGACAGACTAAAGCTCTTGGATGATATACTGTACCGCATTTGCAAGGATCCAGTGACTAGGTTTACACGTTACCAGTTCATAGTCCCTGATTCGCTGGTCAGTGTAGTTCTGTGCGGCATCCACGACGAGGCAGGTCATCAAGGCCAAGGAAGAACGTTGTCTTTGGCTAGGCAGAGATTTTCATGGGTTGGGTTGGAGAGTGACACCCGAGAGTATGTAAGACGCTGTCAACGTTGTGTAGTCAGCAAGACCCCTGAGCCAGAGGGAAGGGCCCCTCTAGAAAGCATTCAAACCGCCAGCCCATTAGAATTAGTGTGCATAGACTTCTGGTGTGCTGAGGATTCCTCTGGCAAGAGTGTAAATGTATTAGTGGTAACCGACCACTTCACGAAAATGGCGAATGCATTCCTGTGCAAGAACCAGTAAGCAGCTCAAGTCGCTCGTCACTTATGGGATAAGTTCTTTTGTGTCTATGGGTTTCCACAAAGAATCCACTCAGACCAAGGTGCGAACTTTGAAAGCGGGTTGATCAAGGAACTTTTACAAATTGCTGGCATACAGAAGTCACGAACAACGGCATATCACCCGATGGGCAACGGCCAAGTTGAGAGGTTCAATCGCACCTTGGGCAATTTGATCAGGGCTTTGCCTCCGAGAGCCAAACAAGCCTGGCCACAAATGCTGCAAACCTTGATGTTTGCTTACAATTGTACTGCCCATGAGTCGACCGGCTTTGCACCATTTTTTCTCATGTACGGTAGAATCCCCAGATTGCCTGTCGATTTGATGTTCCAGAGCGTGGATCGGGATAACAATGTCACGGACTATGACCAGTATGTGAGAAAAATGAAGGATGATCTCAAAGAAGCTATGTTACTTGCTCAGGCCAACAACACTGCAAGTCAACGACGACAAGCTGAACATTACAACAAAGACGTCAGAGGCAGAGACATTGAGTTAGGAGATTATGTGTTGCTCGCCAACAAAGGGGAGCGGGGGCGACGCAAGTTAGCCGACAAATGGGATTCGACCTTGCATGTTGTGGTATCTGTGAACACGAGATGTCATACCTACCTTGTGAGGAACACTCGGACCAATCAGGAGAAAGTGGTTCACAGGAACTTGCTCTTACGAGCCAACTTCTTACCTGTTGATGTGAGGGAGGACTGTGTAGAACCAGGCTTCGATGACTCCGAGTCGGACTGTGAGACTGATGAGTCTGTGGTTGACACTACCTTGAGTGAATCAGAGGATGCTCGTAACGGAATTGTTAGGTCAGCTCATTCCTCAGCTTGTCCATTAAGCACATCAGTGGAAGTGGAAACCAGGGATCCCAGTTCTAGAACAGGACTAGAGCATGTCTCCGATGGATCAGTTCACGGATGTGAGAATCGGGAAACCGTTCAGAACTCTGAGTCTGACCTTTCTACCATGGATGTGGAGGAAGTTGAGCTTGACATAGAAGAGTCCATGCCATCTGATGAAGTCTCTGGCGAGATTGTTCAGCCTCTAGCCGGAACTGCTCACCCAGTCATAACAAGGGCTGGCAGATTAGTGAAACCAGTTAATAGACTGATTCAAATTATGACACAGAAAACTCTCCTACGTAGCCCTTCATTCAGCCTTCTCAGGTCTAAAGCTTCTTAAGTGTGGGATATAGATTCCCTGTCAGTTTTATACAACTGGGGTACAATACATTTGGTGATCATTAAAGTGTCTTTGTAGTAGTGTTTATGGCACTTCTTTTGCGGGCAGACACTTGAGAGTCTGGCCAACTTTCTTTTGTCGCTCTCTCAGTAAGTTGGGAAACTTATATGTTGCGTACGGATACTGTGATTTTTTTTGTCGGATGTGATCACACCCCCAGTGTCATTGAGTCACTAGGTTTTGACTAGTTTTGTGAAGTTCAGGGGGGTGAATGTAGCCAGTTGGGAAGTGTGAAATATTAATAGACCGCGAATGGACGCTGGCGAGGCAAGAGTCCAGGTCTAAGCCCGAACAGTATAGGGGTCCTGGTCCGTCTCGGTCTGAGGATCAGAGACGGCCACGGAAGGCTAGTGTCACGGCGCGTGCTCCTTCCCCGCCTGCGCGTAGGGGTAGAAGGAATCGCGGGTCAGAGGG